GCTGATGTCTATCAGTGACCTGTGTGGAGTGATGACCAATCAGAGCGCAGCATACGAGACGGAGAGGGAGCCTTACCAACGCCTGGTTAAACTCTCACAGGTATTACAAACTGACTTTAAAACAGTGATATTAGACATTTGTACACATGTATTGGTATGTATGTTAGACAACGTGCTCATCTGATTTTGATGAACATTTGTTTTTTTATTCTATTTGATGTTATATTTTTTAGCTTCATTTATATTTCTTTATTTTTCTATTAATTATTTTTAATTGGAGGTTTTACTTTGACTTCTTAAGTTAATATAAATATCTTTATTTTCTTTTATCACACATTATTAATTTACTTATCTATGTTTGCATACATATTTTGGGTATTTTTAAAATTATTATTAACTTCTAATAGTAATTTAATTAATATTATTGATTGCAGTTGTCCCTTTTTCTGTACAGTATAACACTATATACACTAGGTGTCAGTGTTGAACCGTTTTCATGAATATAAGATGGACCTACATTGATCCCAGTAGGGAAATGCAGGTGTGCAGCAACAGAATGAGAAATTGTAAATGATAAGAGTAAAGCTTATCAAAAGCAGATATTAAACGGTGAGGGTTGAATCATGGCAAATAGATAAATGGATCAATCTGAGTGTTTGTCCTTTCTCATTTAAAATATTGTATTTCTTATATTTTTTATTGCAGATCTACCGCTCCAGCAGCGAGGAGCCGTGTCTGGACGTCTCTCATGAGAAAACAGTGAAGGACCTGATGGACACCACCGTCCAATCAGAGAGGAGAGCAGAGAGACAGTGGACCTACCAGACCTGCACCGAGTTCGGCTTCTGTACTGCATGCACACACACACACACACACACACACACACACACACACACACACACACACACACGCACCCACCCACGCACGCACGCACGCACGCAAACACACACACACGCACGCACGCATGCATGCACGCACGCACGCACACAAACACACACACACACACACACACACACACACACACACACTCAACTCTCACATACGTAGTAAACCATCGTTCTTTACATCACCTGTCGCATGTGTGTGTGCGTGTGTGTGTGTGTGTGTGTGTGTGTGTGTGTGTGTGTGTGTGTGTGTGTGTGTGTGTGTGTGTGTGTGTGTGTGTGTATAGATCAGACCTGTGAGGATGCTTCTTGTCCGTTCTCTGGGATGGTGACCCTGAGGTCACAGACTGAGATCTGTCTCGAGCTGTTTGGAATTTCCCAGAATTCCCTGCCTGGACGCGTCGCCTTCACCAACCGCTACTACGGAGGAGACGAGCCACACACACACCGGGTGCTCTACGTCAATGGTGAGATGCTGAGAATCACAACACATGACTCGACAAAGGAGAACATAACAATGTCATTTCATGGTTGTCCTGCCCTAAATACATTGCAAGTTATGCACTTTTTCCATGTAAACGTACAGACATTTTGTCAGGTAACATCCTTCAAGAAAACATATTTTTTAGTGGAAGAAACCCTGCATAAATAAAGGATAAATAAAGTGGTAAAAAGTCATGCTTATAAATCTCCATCACCTTTCCCACAGGTGGGGTCGACCCGTGGAAGGAGCTGTCGGTGGGGAACAGGACCGATGGAGGAGAGGAAGCAGAGAGCGTTTTCATTGGAGACAGCGCTCACTGTGCGGACATGGCGAGAGGAAGAGTCACCGACCGCCGCTCGCTGAAGAACGCCAGACAGGTGTGTATCCCTCGGTGGTGTGTGAGTGTGTAATCTGCATCACACACACATGATGAAGATGAAGTCCTTAAAAAACTCCTTATCCTCTCAGGAGATTGAGAAACACGTGGAGATCTGGCTGAAGACGGCCCAACAGGAGAAGAAGATATTTGATCACAAACAGATGAAGCAGTGAATACAATAAGCTGCTCTTCATCATCATCATCATCATCATCATCATCATCATCATCATCATCATCATCATCATCATCATCATCATCATCATCATCATCAGCATCGTCATCATCATCAAAAACTATCTGAGCTTTAGTAAACTTTATTAAACTAGTTGATAATTGTTTTACTTTGTCAATCTATACGGATTTGTCCCTTTAAGTAATGTGTAACTGTCCGGCAGTGGCTCAGTCTGTAGGGACTGGGAGCCGTAGGGTTGCCGGTTCAAGTCCCCAAACAGACCTGAGTGTGGACTGGTACTTGGAGAGGTTCAGTGGCACTGCCCCTGGTGCCCTTGAGCAAGGCACCTGACACCCCAATGCTCCCCGGTATTAGGATGGGTTAAATGCAGAGGTCCATTTTCACTGTGTGCTGTGCTGTGTGCGTGAACACGTGTGTGACAAATAGAGAGGGTTTCATCCTCTGATTCTTAGTGTTAAGATGTTTTACAAAATGTTCTAAAGGTTTCCAAATCATTCAGCAGTTATTAAAACATAATAAATATAGTATATAAAATGTTTTAATGTGTGCAACAATAACAAGTTAATAAATATTTTACTTAAGTAATCATAATGGAAGTGTTATTAAATCATTTCCATTTATACATGATTATACTATATCATATTGTATAATTATATTATATTGTATTATTTTATTATGTTACACATCTTTCTGACATTATTCGTGTAAACACAACTTTAAATCTGATTCTGACTTTTAGAGATATTAAACATTGTTTAGAACCTTGTTAAAGAGGTTTTCTTCAGATTTTAACATTAACTAGAGTGCGTGATGTCACAGCTAGAGTGGAGCAAATCTTGAAATTTGCCTTCATATATGTTTTTTAAACTGCCATAATTCCCAAACCCTACATTCTGAGACATAATCTTTCATGATAAACGTAGGAAAACATCTCGTAGCTTGAAAAAATGACAAATAATTAAGCAAAATAATTAAACAAAATGCCTCTTGAGGGCATGAAGTGACAAAAACGTTCAACATGTCTCCATTAAAACCCATTGTAATTTCAGGCTGATATTTCCTCACAGCAGCAGCCGCACACCTTAGTTAAACTGCCAAAAAGGCCACATTATTAACCCGAAAGTACACAAAAAATTACACTTCAGATACTCAACTTCCTTGACATGCTATTATGTTATTGTCTATGACAGTACAGTATATAATACAACTTGAAAACCATAACATAGCATAAATAATAGCATTCAAAATAAGTTAACTTGATTACATTACTTGTTACTTGTTAGACGCTTTTATCCAAAGCGACTTACATACTCAATACTGTGGACAATCCCCACAGGAGCAATTTGGGGTGAAGTGTCTTGCCCAGGGACACAACGACATGCTGACTGCAGTGGGGTTTGAACCTGTGACCCCCTGATCCGAACACCAACACACAACCCACTGCACCACACGCCTCCCACGATTATTGATTAGTTATATATTACAATAAATATTAAATACAAAGTGTTTTATACGGTGGCCCTGAAGTGCAAGACACCGCAGCATTTCACAAAACACCACAGCATTTCACAAAACACAACAGCATTTCAGAATACACTACAGCATTTTACAAAACACTACAGCATTTTACAAAACACTACAGCATTTCAGAATACACTACAGCATTTTACAAAACACTACAGCATTTCAGAAAACACTACAGCATTTCACATTGGACAGAAAGGGTATTCCTTTAGGGAGAACACTTCTTGTTTGTGATTGGACAGAGCCAGCCAGAGAAGCACTGCTGTGATTGGTTGTTTTTGCTGCCAGTCAAGAAATGAAGCTTCGAGATTGGTCAGCACCCGACAGCGCAACATGTCCCAACCATAGACTGTATATATAAATGGACGTAGGGTCAGTGACGTCACCCATAGGATTCTGCAGAGTTGCCGAGAAGCCCTTAGTAGGCGGAGTCGGCCACTAACGGCTCGACAGTGACGTCAGAGTCTAACTCCCGCCTGCTCCAGCCTGATCCAGATAAGGACAAAGAGGCGGAGCTGCAGGACACACGCCGGTTAGAATAGTCTATTCTGCACATGTGCAATGCTGCACAATTCAAATGTTACAGTAATGGGTTGTGCTATTACAGATGATTTTGAGTACAGTGCTTTACTGTGAAATAATAGTTAAATAATGTGAAATCCAATTTTACTGCAGTTTTATAGATATTTTGTTGTGATATTATAGGGGCTTTTGATTACAATATTTCTCTATAATATGATACTCTTAAAGGTGGGGTAGGTAAGTTTGAGAAACCGGCTCGAGATACACTTTTTGTTATATTCCATGGAATGCTCTTAACATCCCGATAGCAATGAATATCTGAAGTGCTTTGACAAAAAATCCATAAAAAAAGTCATCTGTGGAAGCCGTAGTACTGTAAAAAGCACGACCAATCATCTGAGCCGGCCCGGCTAAAATAACTGGATGGCCTACCTGCCTGTCAGCCTTCCATCTGTGCACAAACTTATCTCGTGCCCTCATTGGTCATGTGCGCATGTGTGTGTGTTGGAGGAGGGGCTCTTCTTCAATATATATCACACTAATTCATAAAGCAAGTTAGACATTTTGATGTTCCGGACCTTTGCATGGGGAGATTTTCTCTAACTGGACCTCGTTGAATTTTAGTTGAATACCCTTGCCCTAGAGGATGCGACGTCCACCCCCCAATTAAAACTTGTTCATACAATAATGAATACATTTGAAACCTTCTTTATGTATATAACCAACATGTCAATACGTTTCAGTTTGTGTAGTGTATTGGTCTTTTGTAGAGATTTTTCATTTATTCTTTATATATTCTATTGTGTATTGCTTGGAGGGTGGGGGGCATCAAATCATAATCTTGCCTAGGGCACCAAAATGTCTAGGACCGGCCCTGCAGTTTGGATTCCTAAAGCTTTTAGTCTACTATCCCATCATTCAAGGGTGGTGTTCACTTTAAGTAATGGTTTTTTTTTGGACGGAAACTATAATTTACATTTTTTTACTATGTTCAATCTGAATTTACTTTAAAATTAAAAACATCTATATTGATTCTGACTTTTCTACATCCAACTTACAGGTTTATCATTGCTTTGAGAAAAAAGATTATTAATTTACCCCTTTTAGAAGGGAAGATATAGTCATTTATTCTGGGAATGTCATTTTCGAGCCTGAGACCTGAAAACAGGCTCGGGGCTTAACAGGTTAATAACCTTGCAATGTGTGTTATTTAGGGCCACCTCGATTAAAGATTGTCAATGAATCTGCAGAATGTCTTCTTGAATGTTCCTGAGCTTTTGGCAAACATAGAGAAAATATGTATTTGTGGCCCTTAAAGAGACCAGAAGGTGTTCCAAAGACACGAAGAACACGAGGCAACGTTTTCTATATGCCTCTTGTATGGTAGTTTAATTAAAATAAGAGTTTCGTCAGAAAGGAAAAGCTCTGAGCTTTAAAAGGGTCCACTTTCTGTTTGGTAGAGATGATCACTGTTTTTTATTTAAGTTATAGTCTGTAACACTGCACAGCATTTCCAAGTGTCATCATCTCAAACATCCCTAAAACTTAAAGTTGACCTTCCCACGATAAAATGTGTGTGAGTTAATGATGATAAACCAACCAAATGAGTTGACACATCATCAACATGAGTAATAAAGAGCCATAACTTTTACACTCTAAGGTCAAAGAGGTCAAGATGTGGTGACATCGTTATCAGAAATGACCTAAAGTGATGTGTGTGTGTGTGTGTGTGTGTGTGTGTGTGTGTGTGTGTGTGTGTGTGTGTGTGTGTGTGTGTGTCTGAGTGTGTGTTTGCACCTAAGTAAGATGATGCATTGTTGTCAGATGACAGCAGTGTCCACAGAAGCTGATGTAATGAGGGTCTTTAGGGCCCCCCCAGAATCATTAATCAGCTAAATATTTTCTGTCAATCACATAAACGTTTGGCAAATACAAAAAAGTCTAGTTTTAGTTGCGTCTCTAGGTAAGACTGGAAAGTGTTGATGTGTGTCAATTAGGGTGTGTGTGTGTGTGTGTGTGTGTGTGTGTGTGTGTGTGTGTGTATGTGTGTGTGTGTGTGTGTGTTTGCCTCTCAGTAATATGATGCAATGTGTTCAGATCACAGCCGTGTCCACAGAAGCTCCCCCCCCCTCTCCGGACTACAGCCAGTGTACATAGAACTAATTATGACCCAGTGGTCACAGTGAGTCTCAGGGGGGGGGGCTCTGTTGTCACTCACCTGAGCTGCTGAGTAGCTGAGGTGATTATCTCAGTAATTGGTCCGAGGTGGTCAACAGCTCGGTTTCTCCTTAGTCCTCTGAGGAGAGAAACTTTGGCCTGTTAGCAAACACATTAACAACAACTTTATAAGATCATTTAATATAAGAAATGGTTATATAATATACAGAGTAATACAAAAATAATACGATTAACACGTTATAATAATTAACATAAATAATAATAAAGTGAGACTTAATGATGTTTTCTGTAATCCACTCAAACATCCAAAATCCATATTAAGGATTACGTTTTACTGTCTTTGTCTGTCACACACACACACACACACACACACACACACACACACACACACACACACACACACACACACACACACACACACACACACACACACACACACACACACACACACACACACACACACACACACACACACAAACACTTGACCCCTTTCACCTTATTAATTGGAGTGTGATGTAATGCGGGTCTTTAGTGGGTCCACACACACACAAACACACACACACACACACACACACACACACACACACACACACACACACACACACACACACACACACACACACACACACACACACACACACACACACACACACACACACACACACACACACACACACACACACACACACACACAAACACTTGACCCCTTTCACCTTATTAATTGGAGTGTGATGTAATGCGGGTCTTTAGTGGGTCCACACACACACAAACACACACACACACACACACACACACACACACACACACACACACACACACACACACACACACACACACACACACACACACACACACACACACACACACACACAGTCTTACATCACTTTAGGTAAACAAACTCCTCAAAAGTTAGCATTACATAACTCTTCATGAACATATTTAAACATGACATGTCAGAAAACTTGTAATGTAAAAGATAACTGTGTTAATGTCCGTTATGAAGTCGGGGGGGGGGGGGGGTTTCATGGTGATATCTTCTAGTTTATTTGTTACCCTATTCTCCTGTAGTGTGTACACACCATGTATGAGTTTTACAATCCACCTCTCTCCTCCTCAGAAGTCTCCACTTCAGTGTCCCTTACTGTGCATCATTCCTCTGCATATTGTGAGGCTTCTTACACACACAGACTGCCTATCATTTAAACGCTTAAAATATAATGTACCTGTCACAACCTCATGATGCTGATGGCAAACACTCTACCGATGCAATAGGGAACATTCTGAATGCCTCATCAAATGGCCTTCATAAAGATCTCATTTGCATCAGAATCAGAATAAGAATCAGAATCAGAATCAGAATCAGAATCAGAATCAGAATCAGAAGTCCTTTATTTGTCCCGCATCGTGGAAATGTTCATGAACAGCAGATCGTGCAGGTAAGGTCAAGAACAAAAGAAAATGAATGGCTAAGTATGCACACTTTATTAATAACACAATAAGTCAAAAACAATATAACAGACATGTACGCCATGTTAATAAAAGTAGCAGTAGGAGGGTATATTGCACAAAGTATTGTATATTTTTAATTGGAGGATAAAAACCTCTTTATTGGTCACAAATACATTTAAAAAGCACACACAGTGAAATGTGGTCTCAGCTTTTAACCCATCCTAGTATAGCTATTGAGTGGGCCCTCTCCCAGCAGTAGCAGTCCACACTCCATTTTTAGGTCTGTTCGGGGACTTGAACCGACAACCCTACGGCAGTTATTGCACATCAGAAGTCTGGTAGCTCTGTGTACAAATGTGCAAAATAATCTGAGGGTTGTCTGAAGATAAAAAAGTGAAAATCTCGTTTAATATCCAAGGGTTACAGAAATATTTAGCTGTATAAGTTTTGACCTGTATGAAGACAGAACATTTGTAGATACAGCTTTGGGTCTCCAGAACATTTGCTCAGAAAAACTAAAGTGAAAAGTAACAAATAAAATAATAAAAATAACTCTAACTGCTTTTAGCATTTTATTCTTCCATACCTGCATTTGTTTTGCAGCCCGCAAAAAACAACCCCCCCCCCCCCTCCCTGTTGGTGTCCACATGCCTCAAGAGTTTCATTCAGTTGTTTACAAGTTGGTCAGATCTTTGTGAAAAGTTTTAGTGAGATCTGTCGAGGGTGAAGAATCTGATAAAGAAGAATCCACAGAGCGGAGCTGTTCACTTTCTGAGGTGCAGGTACTTACATGTAACATTTCAAACAGGTTGTATGTTTTCATATCTTAATTCATGTATACTGTTAACATAATCTGCCTTGTTTTATACAAACTATTAATGGCTGGTGAATATAATGTGACATATATAACTCTTGATGGGCATGTGGAAGTGCAGAGATATAGATATCTGTACTTTGTGATCATGTTTACAGTTTACGTTTTTATCATCTGCAGTAATTCCACTATTGTGTGCATCATTGTTATTCACAAAAGCCTCCATGAGCCTATGTACATATTCATTGCAGCTTTGTTGATTAACTCTGTTCTTTATAGCACTAACATCTACCCAAAGCTTCTGATTGACTTTGTATCAGAGAAACAGATCATATCTTATCAAGCTTGTCTCTTTCAAACTGTGATTTATATCACTCTGTCCTATTCAGAGTTTTTACTGCTGGCAGCCATGGCCTATGACAGATATGTGTCTATATGTAAACCTCTGCAATATCCAACCATCATGAGAAAAAGAACTGTCATTGTCTTTCTGGTTTTGTCTTGGCTTCTGCCGACTTGTGTGAGTGCAGTGGGAATTGTTCTTTTTTCTAATAGCAAACTCTGCAGTTTTACTGTTACAGGGGATTTTTTGTAACAATTCAATTTACAATCTTCAGTGTGTGAGCTCAAGCGCTCTCTCTGTATATGGAGCGTTCGTGTTGATAAATATGTCACTTCTGCCTCTTATCTTCATACTTTTTACATACACCAGGATACTTATAATATCATATAAAAATGGTAGAGAATACAGGAGAAAAGCTGCACAGACCTGTTTACCCCACCTGTTGGTTTTAATCAGCTTTTCCAGTTTTTTTGCTTTTGATGGCATCATAGTTCGTCTTGGATTTAATATTCCTGTAACTACACGTTTGATATTGACTTTGCAAGTAATTTCTTATAACCCCCTTTTCAACCCAATCATATACGGACTAAAAATGAAAAAGATACTTCACCATCTCAAGATGTTGAAGTGTCGGATTAAATCCAAATAATGCTACTTGTTTTCATTACTGATTTACTGTGAAGAGTAATGAGTTCAGATTTCATCTTCGAGGTTAATATAACATTAAGATTGTTTTCATCATGAACTCGACTGTGATAATAATCTCTGCTGGGAATCTAACATCACTCTGACTATCAATCATACTCTTTTAATTGATATATTCTTCTGCTTACTGTATATACCAGTATATACTATGTTTTAGTTAAATCACTTCACTCATTAATCATGGAAGAGCAACTCTTGAAACTGAACACATGGATACCTTCAAATCTTTTTGATTTTTTTTTTAAGGCTGATTTGGTCTGTAGCTATAAATAGTAATGGGATTTCATTAGTTGCCCTTCTACATTTATGGCTAAAAGGATAAAGATTCATAAATATATATATATATAGCCTATAATGTATTATTATATCATGTATAGCCTATATTATTATATCATGTATATGCCTTTGGAGTGTTTGTTTGTTTTGTGGTTTCAAAGCTGTGATTGCACTTGTTGATCACCATGAGCACCTGGAGCTGCTTTACTCTAAAATCTTATTTTTTGCAGAACATGATAAAGTGTAGATGCCATTTATGCGTTGTGTAAAAAACATATAGTTCACGTGGTGTGGTTAGTTATGATATTATGCTTGGGAACATATCTGTCATTTTGCAGCTTTAAGAGTGCCTTTCCTGCAGGGCTTTACTCATTTATTTTCTCTGTCGTAGTTTCTTTGATGATGTTCATAATGGAAAAATAAAGTGATAATAAACATTTTAAATCTTGAAAACTTGAATTATTTGATTTGATCACACAAAAGAATGCAAAAACATTGATGATGAAATATGAGAGATCAAGAATCTGCAACGTATACAGTTGATTTCCCCTGCACAAAACAAACACACTTAAGAAACTATCATTTAGAAAAATAAAAAACACATTTTTGAGAGGGCAGACATAATGAGCAGTTTCACCAGGAGATCGGAGCAGGGATTAACAAAGAGCAGGGGCCTCATTTACAAAGCCTTGCGTAGGATTCACGTGGGAAGGTTGCTTAGGACAAAGCAATTAAATACGCACAGACATTTTCCGATTTATAAAACACTGCGTATCAGCGTAGGACGTGCCTACGTACAGAACAGCTAAAAAAAGACATCTCACACCGTGTCAGATTTGGGTTATTTTGGGGAGGTCGAGATAAATCATATTGTTTGGTGGATGCAGTTTGAACCAGAGTAGCAGCATGGAGGTCGGATCGTCACCAAAATAAATAAATAAGTGGTCCGAAAAAAGTTAATGACAAAAAAAATACACATAACCTTCCTCAGGCAGTGTGTTTGTCCCGGGGACAGGAGACCCCCCTTGATGAGAAACTGTAAGAAATGATCGGGGAATCCCTCCGGAGTGGAGTCATGACGACTGGATCTGAATTATTTTGTTGTATTTGGTGGTTTGTGTTCCAGCTGTCGATCAGCAACTATATATCCATAATTCACCAGTTAAAGGAAATACAACTAATGTGTTGTGTTATATTAGCTGTACAATTTACCACATATGGTGTTCTTAGTTTCCATACCTCCTGTGTTTTAAGAGCAACTTATCAAGTATTGGCGAACGGCATAAAACACGATTAAACGTGATAGTATATAAAACCATGCTCCTATCTATACAACCTATAGAAATGCAAAACGGCGTCAGTTTAAAGTAATTCTGTCCTCCTGCTTACCGCATCATTTATGAGAAAACATTTCTTAACAAGAGAACATCATCGAGGGGTGATCAATAACATTTCCGTATTTATTTATTTATCTAAGTTATGTTTTTGTGTGCACTCAGGAGTCTCAAACAGGCGTTTGTTTTATCATTTTAAGATTGGCTTTAATCAATTTGTGAAAATGAATTCTTCATATTTGATAAATGAGAGATAACATTTTATTTATGGTATTATTTCCACATATTTCTCTCCATTCTTCCTTCTGCCAACGGTTTCACAGTTTCTCATCTCTCCCGTTGTTGTGCTTAGTGCGTACGCATGGGTCAGAGTTTGCGTGGAGGACCTCACATTTTCCCGTCAAGTTTGTTTTTTATAAATCGCAAACATTGCGTAGAAACTGGCGTGCGCCATCTTTTGAGCGTACGCACCGTTTATAAATGAGGCCCCTGAACACAAAGTAACTTTGAAGTAAAGTTCCTTTACTTTAGTTTAACCAGAAATGAATAAACAGGGCAAGGCAAAAACTAATGAAACAGAACTCTCTCATGAACAATACAACACCAACAGCAAACTAGAATTAAAATACATGCAGAACTAATAAAAAGGACACACGCAGCTGGGCGGTGCAGGAAAAACACAAGGACAACAGGTGAACAGAATCAGGTAATCAGACAGGCAGAAACACGGAGAGAGGAAGTAAAAACAGACATAACACAGGGGGTGAACACTTTTCTGAATATAACATTACATTTTATTTAGATGACTTACAATAAGTGCATTCAACCATGAAGAAAAGAAACAAACTAAAAGGCAAGAATCCTGCAGGGTCATTTCCTGTGTATAAGCCCAACAGGTTGAGTGATGCTGCAATGGCTTCCCTGGAGCACGTTGAGACCCGAAACCAGCGTCGGATCACTCGTCTTTGAGTGCCAACAAACATATTCAAACGTCAGAGCCGCAGGCCCTTCAGAAAATCTGGCGTGTTCCATCTCTCGCTGCAGTGATTTTCATGCCAATCTGAGCAACAATTTAGCATTTATTTGAAAGAACATGTTCTTAAAAAGGGCAGGTAAAATTAGACATTCTACACTTCAAATACATTACTGCAGGATCTGGGGTATTTGAAATTGACATGGCCATATCTCCACGATGCATCGACACAGGAAGCTGATACTCGAACATGTTGGTCCCTGGAACACCAGAAATGTGCCATATCAGTTTCAGACACCTGTGATGAAGCACCAAGGAGAAATCACCCTGTATATTTCAAATACCAGAGTTCCTGCAGTTATGTATTTGACGTGTACTGTACCCTTAAAATACTTTACAGCACGACCTCGGGGATGCAAAGTGGACATGTAGGCGAAAAAGGCTTTTTTGAGTCTCAGAGACCAAGTTCCTGTACAAGTCACATACTTGACTGCGTGACCTCAGGTATGCGATGTGGACAGTACCTCAACCACTCCCATTGCTCCCCGGGCGCTGTGCAATAGCTGGCCACTGCTCCTAGTACTAGACTCCTGGTACTAGGATGGTTTAAAAGCAGAGGCCAAATGTCACTGTGTGTGCTGTGTGCTCTACATGTGTGACCATTAAAGAGGGTTTCATCCCTCCGATAAAAAAAAAAATACATCACTACACGACCTGTGGTATTTGAAACATACAAGGTCATATTTCAAAGATGCCACAGGCTACATGCACGTCACTTTGAATTAGTCATCTCTGAGGCCACTTTTCTCAGTACACCAATTATCATGCAAATCAGAGCAACTTTATTTTTGACCTGATTTTCAGGAAAAGTCAAGTCTTCAGAGATGAGTTTGAAAAGGTCAAAAAATCTAAGGTTCTCCAATTATCTCCAAAATGGACACACTCAATCCCTGGGCCGGAGGGATGACATAGTTCAAGTATCAGCTTTCAAATATGTTTCTGCACAAAATGAGGTCCATGAAGTGGATAAGTCATACCCCGGCATCAGCTTCATTGTGGCAGAGTCCTGCACGGGTCTGATTTCCAAGACCCGCTCCCGCCCCGCACCCGCGGTAAGCAAATCCGAACCCGCCCCGCCACCCGCACATATTGCCAATTAGTTCCGCAAACCGACCCAACCCGTCGGCACAAGATCCGCAAACCGACCCGAACCCGCATATCCTATAAAAGCAGTGAAAACGTGCAATTATTAACACACGCAGTTGCATATTTGTCTCAAAAAGCGTGGGATGTTGGTTATTTTCTCCATCTAGGATGACACCAAAAGCCTCCCCGACGTTGGATTTCGCTCTTGAGGAAGTGTTATTGAAAATGCTGTATTCTATATATATCATCTTTGTTTTACCCAGAACCGAACCCGGAAAAAAGCGTTTGAAAAAATACCACCCGCGAATCACTTTTTTTGCGGGGTACCCGACCCGATGCAGGACTCTAAATTAAATATTATATTATTCTAATGAAATTGTAAAGTGTAACCCGAAGAAAAACTTGACATAGAGTGTGTTATTTAGTAAGTGCAGATGAGGTCAATGATTAGGGCCTCGCACCAACCCTGCAATAGTTGTCAATGCAAAGAAGTGAAGTGAACTCACACCCATGTAAACAAAGTTTGGCACCTTTGGGTTCAGGCCTCCAGAGTTTGATGAGCTTTGAAGAGTTAATGAGATCCATGGTGAGGGTGAGGAAATGTGATCAAATACTTAGTCTGAGGGAAACAGTTCTGATCTCTGCATGAACACACATGAGGTGCAGTTTAAGGTCTGGTATCTGTTAATGAATCAAACAAGATGTTGTGCAATGTTAATGCAATGTGCATGGTAAGAGTTTTTTTCTTAGTTTACTAATTTGTTATAAAACCTGCCTGTTTTAATTGGTGTTCTTCATGGATGATGATTTAAATGTAACATCCATTGCTCTTAGTGGGTATGTTGTAATGGGCAAATTCAGGTATTTGTATTTTTTCATTATGTTTACTGTATATATTCTAACAATCTGCTTTAATTTTACTATTATGTGCCTTATATGGAAGCATAAGAACCTCCATGAGCCTATGTACTTTTTTATCGCAGCGTTGCTGCTGAACTCCATTGTTTACAACACTGCTATGTACCCAAAGTTGTTAGGTAACTTTGTGTCTGAGAAACCGGTCATATCATATTCAGCCTGTCTCCTTCAATTCTTCATATATTACGCGTTAAGTGCTTCAGATTTCTTCCTGTTGTCAGCCATGGCCTATGACAGATATGTGTCTATATGTAAGCCTCTGCAATATCATACTATAATGAGAACAACTACAGTGAGTGTTATTCTCAGTTTGGCTTGGCTTGTGCCTGCGTGTCAGGTTGCAATCTCAGTCATTCTGGTTATTAATACAAAATTCTGTCATTTTACTTTAAAATCAATTTTTTGTAACAATTCAATTTACAATCTATTTTGCATTAGTTCAAAAGCACTAGCCTTATATGATGTGTATGCTCTGTTCAGCATGGCCCTTTTACCTTTGCTCTTCATACTTTTCACATACACCAGAATACTGATCATCTCCTATCGAAGCGGTAGAAATGTCCGGAGAAAAGCTGCACAGACCTGTTTACCCCACCTCGTAGTTTTATTCTGCTTCTCCTGTTTGTGTGCATATGATGTTATAATAATTCAACTTGGATCTGATTCACATTCCATAATGACTTTACAGGCATTCTTGTATTACCCCCTCTTTAATCCAGTTATATATGGACTGAAAGTGAAAGAAATCTTTAAGCACCTGAAGAAGTTGTTCTGTAGAGCAAAGTTGAACTGACGTATTAACAGGGATGTTGCAGTAATTGTGATGTAATGTGCAGTCATTTCTTCTGTAATAATATGCACATACAGTATGTGGAGACAGTTTCTTCCCGCGGGCAGTGAGACTGTTAAACAATTGAACTGCTGAAACAATTTCATAACATTCATCTGCTACTTAGTAATATATATCTACTATCTAATATATATCATTCCAATAACTTGTATATAGACTCGTACTGCACTATTCCACTTTATTTTAGAACTATTTTTCTGTATTATTATGTTGCATTATTGGAGAAGCCTGTGACCTAAGATTTTCAACGACATAATTACTCTGTAGCTATGTTAGTTTGACAATAAAGAACCTTGAACCTTGAACCTTGATGTTCTGATCTGTGGAAGGTATTTCATGTAAAGATGTGTTAACCCTGTAAAAACCTCTTTACTATATATCATGTACACTTTATCTTCACTTGGAACAATGTTATGACTACTTAATATGCTTAACTTATTAAAAAATATGTTTTTTTAATCATGTGATCGTAAGTTTTCTTTGGTGAGTTTATTATAACTGATAGGGATAAACACCATTTACTACAGAGGCCAATTTGGGAAATCGGCTCTACAAGCAAAAATAAAAAACAACAAATGAATTACAATAAGACCATTCCAGTTTAGGCCCAGGAAAAAAAGCGCAATGACATAATAGAGACTACATACTGATGGAAATAAAGTAATTGGCAGCATTTTTAATCACTACAAGAGATTTAAGTGTTGCCGATGGCCGACATTCAAACTTCTGTTTTTCCCAAAGATTATGCACGTTGTTCATTAATGGACTGAATAAACAAATAAGTGCAATATAGTAGTCAAACTGGTGTTGGCATGTTATATTTCTTGCAGGACAATATCATATCACGTGTGAGTCCAATGTTTCAAATTGAAAGAAGGTGCAGGGACTGTTCTTTATGAGCAAAAGTATATTGAGTGAGCTATTAGTACTATTAGTACAAAAGTATAATAATAATAATAATAAGGGTTGCAAAAGGAAACCATACCAATTCTCATTCAAGTCAGGCCCATTGATGATGGCAATCAAAGGTTTGGCAATGTATCCTCTGGGGAACAGGAATGTTTGAAACCATTTTCACGTCAGTCCATTCAATGGTTACCCGTCACAACACTGTGTGGTTTTAATGGCCGTTGGGTGTGGACAAAGCACGGGCGCCAGATGAAGAGGGCAGGAAGTCCGTAGGGAGATATTGGGTGAAGAGCTCGTGAAAAGTGATGTTTAAAATTCAGTTAATGGGGCTCATTCACTGGCGCTTCCACAAACAACAACCAACATAATTGTTACATTCAAATGAAGTACATTATTCAAGTTTACATTAACTTTGGATAATAACACGGGAGAAATGAGAGGAAGCGCTCTCTTTTCCTCTCTCCCCCTCTCTCTCTCTCCTGACAGCCTGTCAGTATCTCATGCAGCTCACTGATCCAGTAATGAGTGACAGTGAAGAATAAATATATTTATAACTAGTTCCAGAGGTAGATAAAATAGCTAAGTGTGTTAGGTCTAACTCTTGTGTGTTTTGCTCCGCTCACCGGTCCGTCACAGCGGGTGGAGCTGCAGGATTTCTGCTTCACAAACGTTGCAAACCGCTATTTTATTGTCATTTTCGGACACCTTAAAATACTGCCAGACTGGTGAAGCCATTTTGGCGAGCTTGTTTTGCCGCACACAGAGAAAAGTGTCATGTATTTTACGTCTCGCGATCGGCCTTTTTAGAGAGCACCGATCGATCAGCAAAGTATGAGTATCGGCCGATATCGATCGCCACGCAAAAACTGCGGCATTTTTACAGCTCCTTATGGGTAATGCAATTTGTGAAGTGCGTTCCTCTGTGGTGAAACGCTGAAGTTCTTTTTTTTGTGGTGGGAACTGGGTATTTAGTTATCGCACTCACTTTGGCCTCGATGGCACACACAGTCCCCTGCCCTACAACTTTGCCGAGGTAAGTGACGGCGGAGTTGGCAAAGTCACACTTTGCCAAGTTTACTGTCAGGCACGCCTAACTCAACCGGTCGAACAGTTTCTTAATACGGGCCAAATGTTCCTCCCACGTATTGCTATAGATCACACCGTCATCCAAGTACACGGCACAACATTCCAACCCCGACACCACCCTGTTCATAAATCGCTGGAATGTGGAGGGAGCATTACGCAGACCAAAACTCATCACATTATAAGAATATAACCCTGAGGGTGTAATAAAGGCGGAGATTTCCTTGGCCCTTGGAGAGAGTGGAACCTGCCAGTAACCTTTTAAAAGGTAAAATTTGCTTACAAACTGGGCAGAACCAACCTGATCAATACAATCTTCCATACGAGGCAGTGGATACGCATCGGGTTTAGTAACAGCATTAACCTTCCGATAATCTGTGCAAAACCTAGGACTTTTATCAGACTTCTCCACAAGCAGACAGGGTGATGCCCAGCTTGAACAAGAAGGTTCGGCGATGCCATTTTCGAGCATGTACTTGATTTCTGTGTCCATTACCTGACGTTTTTCCTCAGACACACGATAGAAATGCTGACGGATAGGATGTGCACCCTCTACATCTATATCATGCACTATCATGTGTGTTTGGCTTGGTGTATCACTGAATAGACACAGATTACTATGAATCAGAGCAGTCAACTCAGACCTTCCTTCTGCCCACAAATGACCCAACAGTGACTCCAGATTACGCAAAGTTTCAGTGTTCTTCAATTTTCCCCGCAACAAGCTCTCATCAGGCGCTGTAACCCCATCATCCTCCCCTCCGAAGAACTGACTCCCCACTGCCGCTGCTGCTGAGAGAGGTTTAGACTCATTAGTATGACTTCAGCAGATTTATATGGCAGAGCTGAGTGGCTTTTCTACGTTTAGGCGTGGACAGGAGAACATTTTGATCAGATACCTGATGCAGCACTGTAAAAGAGCCAGAACATTTTGCCTGAAACGGGGAATTAACCATTGGCAACAAAGCCAGGACCTGATCTCCAGGACTAAACGAGCGCTGCTCGGTTTTTCGGTCATACAGACGCTTCTTCTTTCCCTGGGCAGCCGACAACTTCTCTCTGGCCATCTCCCCAGCTGAATACAACCGATGCCGGAACCCGTTTACATAGTCAACAAGATTACTAGGGGTTTCTGACGGCGTGACAGCATCGTTCAGCAGCGCAAGCGGCCCACGTACTCTGTGGCCAAAAACAAGTTCATTAGGGCTAAACCCCGTACTCTCCTGCACAACCTCTCTCGCAGCCAACATAAGTCATGGCAGCCCTTCCTCCCAATCCTGATTCATCTTCACGCAATAACCCCGTAACAGAGACTTCAGAGTCTGATGGAACCTCTCTAACGCTCCTTAGGTCTGTGCGTGATATGCGGAAGACTGTTTATGCTGGACCTTCAACTGCTTCACCACTTGCGCAAAAAGGTGTGACGAGAAGTTTGAACCTTGATCGCTCTGAATAACTTTTGGGATTCCAAAAATTGACATGAAATGGGTCAGGGCTTTAACTACTGACTTTGTGGTGATGGAACGCAGCGGGTACGCAGCTTTGACACATCACGGTAAGCAAATAATTACTACCTGCTTTAGAACGAGGTAAAGGACCAACGCAAGGGAGAGGCCTCCCGAAACGCGATGGGCCGTCTTATAACAGCTGCCCAGGTGCAGCTCGTCAGTCCACAATCATCCGACAGCACTGGAACCTGCAAACAAGGGGAGAGAGAGACCACAGAACGCCTAGTGGTGTGGAGGGGTCGTCACACCTCTTAATTAGTTACTGATATATATATAATAGTAATCCTAATCCTGGTTCTTATTTAGTATCAGCAGATGCTGAAGAGGTTGAAAATATTGACGATGAAACCAGCAAAAGTGGCCTGGCTGGATGTATAATTCCTGGCCTGACATACATTTATTTTCTGGAAAAGGGAATGCCCTAATGCACCTTAGGGAAAAGTTTCACTTTGACAGAACCCTAGAAGCACACACAGTGTGTACCTGTTTCTGATAAATGAAAGCTTAAAATGGGTTTGGAGTAGGTTGTGCATGTTCAGGGACCCAGTGTGTGTGTGTGTGTGTGTGTGTGTGTGTGTGTGTGTGTGTGTGTGTGTGTGTGTGTGTGTGTGTGTGTGTGTGTGTGTGTGTGTGTGTGTGTGTGTGTGTGTGTGTGTGCGTGCGTGCGTTACTTGACGCCCAGAAGAAGGATGACACATCACCTCTCTGCGTGAAGGAGCTTGTGGATTAACTCGTGCATCAGTTGAAACTCTGGCACACCCAGTATTTGTTCTGATTCTGATCATCCCTTAGATTTAGTTTCCATTACTGGAAAACATAAGTAAAGTATTCATGAGATGAATGCATAAATGCCCCGCCCCTTTGTTGTTAGCAGTGAGCATTTAAAGCTCCGTGCTCAACAACATCCCATCTTTTACAGCGAAACAGAAGTTACACATCACTGACTTTATACCAGAGCATCAAGAGCAAAACCCATCCTCACATTTACAGAACTACAGAGCTGAGGAAACAGCTGAATGATGAGGTGAGTTGATTATGTTTTTCTTTTTCTTTTTTTTAATAATTGGCCTATTACTGAATAATGTATTCGTGGTTGTGTTTCAGCAGGAGAGGAAATGCTGAGTCCATCTGTTTAGTATATATTTTTTGAATTACCATTTTATTTCCCTTACTCGCCGTAACACTTCCTGTCTGCTTTGTTCGACTCTGTGTTGCTCAATGTCATACCTTTCATCCTACCACCCTATACCTTACTTAATTGTATCCTCCTTCCTTACCTCTATCAATCTTTTTTTAATTATCTGTTACCTTTCTGCCTTTCCTTTCTTCCTTCTTATCTCACCTTCTTTCTAACTCCCTTTTCCTTACTCTTCTGTTATTGTGATACTCTTTTTATCCATTAATTCCCTTATTATTTATTTATTATGTTGCCTCCACTTTTGACGACTGCTTCATTAAAGTTACTTTGTTCCTTGCTGCATATTACATCATGTTTGGCTTTTCAAACACAAACACGGTACACTTTGTAGAGCTCAATTATTTTGTGTCCAGCAATTAACACAAATAAAATAAATCCTTCCCTCAAAGTTCATTCTACAACTCTGGGTTACCCAACAAAATGAAAGCTCTAGTCCCTGCATGCTGAAAAATAAAGAAACAAAGTCTGAAGCCAGGGGTCTATGCCAGAAAACGGTGGAATGCTCCCTCCGAGTTGTTAGGTAATGAAGGAGTTAAACAAATGTTTGCTGATGGGCAAATATTTTAAAGTAGAGTGTGAGATTCAAGGGCGCTGGAAGCGGGGGGGCCAGGGGGCCATTGGCCCCCCCCACTTTTCAGCCCTGCCCCACATTTTCGCAGCGGCGGATGCCGTGGAACACTGTACAAATCCCGTTTCAATAATTCCCCTCTACTCTAAAGTCGCATCTAAAATGCGATCTGATATAGCTGTGTATATTTTGTTATGTTTGATTGTTATATTCAATCTCATTAGCTACAGGCATTTTTTTAAGCTTGTAAAGCTCTCACTCGCCACTCTGCTGTTCCACAGCGCCGCTTCCCCTCCCTCTGCTGAAATTATGAATGTAAGGCGTATAGTAATCATAGATAACACGGCAGGGTCCGTTACAGTTTGTTTTTATCTGATTTCAAATAAACAAAGTCTTGGCTTTCAGAATATTAAACTTGTTTTGGCAAATTCAGATGATAAATACAACTTTGAAGCTTGTAACGGCATAATTACAAGCAACGGAGTAACTTTACGTCACTGCAGGCATAACAGCAGCCGTGTTTCTCGTGAGTGTTTTCCCCGGGAAACAAACACAATACACACAAACGCAAAAATACACAAACACACACATATATACACACACACACTCGCGGGCTTCCCCTATCTTCCCTTTGTACTATTTTGATCATTTGCTCCGCTAATAATCAATCAGATCGATCCAGAGAAGAGGAAACTTTAAAGGCCTTTTTCTCAAAATGATGACTCTGTAACAGTCATTATATAATGTGACATATTTTGCTTAATATTTGGAGTAGCCTACAACAACAATCCTGATATCATTAGAAAGCTATGAATCTCCTCTTTCCAACAGTGTATACAACTCAAAATGTGTCTTCGGGTCAATGCGACTGATTTCGATGGAGCAGGTCACTTTGCATTAGGTAAAATAAAGCAGGCAGACATAACAGGAAGAATATGTAAATTTTAACCCAATCAAATAGGACATTGTCACACCATTCAAATGTATCCATGTAAATTACAACCAATAAAAAAGCTTAGATTTGTTTATTCGTTACGTTGTTTACTTTATTTGTCACGTTGTTCTGTGTGTCAGCCGTTAACCTAGATAGAAAAAATATATACACTTGCAAACACGTCAGAAGAACCAGCGCAGAAGAAAACTATACAGTCAATCTAAACTTAAATTAACAACTGGAAGGTCACATCCCTGACATCCACGTCTCAGGAGCCTGGACCTTCATCAATCATAGAACCAGCGAAGCCAGATAAACCCAAAAGCAGCAGCTCTGCGGCCGCAGAGACTGTCAAAACCGCCGCCACCGCCGTCGTTGAACCGAAACAGGCTGGTTCCGACTGCATGGAGGTTTGTTGTCGGGACATTGAGACGGGTAAAACTGCAGCTAACTGACCGCTAGATTATTTGGGCAAAGAGAAAGGTACTTCAACGCAGAATGGTACAAAAACAGAGAGTGGTTAATTATTTGCAAAACCACTAAACGGGCCTTCTGTGAAATATGCAGATTTGCTGCTGTCAAACGGCTTGTAACTTTCTCAAAATGTGGAGATGATAGCTTTGTTAATATCGGAGTTAATAACTGGAAAAAGTGCCCAAGCCTCCTGGGCAGCCACGAAAAGTCTAATTTCCACAGAGAGTGTATTAAAAAAAAGTGCGCTTTCTTCAGTTAAACACCAGTCAACATACAGCTTGTCAAACAACAGCGTATTGAGCAGGAAAAAAGAAGAGATGGAATGATGGAGCAACTGCACAATTTCCAAAATAACTCGTATCTGAGAAAAACCCCACTCTGAAGAGCTTCATGCTCACCGGGAAATATGCATCACGAGACAATTAATGAACTTATAAATCTAATGTATCGGGAGTCTCTCACCACTATATTAACTGAAATTTAAAAGCAATGCAAAACATGCAGTTATTGTGCTTCCAGCAAACATCCACTGATAAACTGCGATGTTAACAACCTCATGATAACCTCATATGTTTTTAACTTAGGATCTACCATGTGTTTAGTCTAGAAAAAGGTAAATGTGTGCATTTTATTATAAAGTTGTGTATATTTACAGACTGTTGCAAAAACTAAGAAACTTATAAACATCAGGTTTAAAACTAAAAGAGCTTTACAAAAAAGTAACACAATTAGAGATGTTTGGAGTTTTATTTTAGTTATTCATTTACATTTTTTGTCAAAGAGATGCTGATTTGATACCGTTGATACAGTTACGACATTTCCTGTTTCTGCCGGAGAGAGGGGAGTTTGTCCCAAAGCTTGCTGCTGTATCTACTCCCTCCATCTGACAGGAGGGAGCCTCATGTGTCACTCCACGGAGTTCACTCCGTCACGGAGGGGGAGTGTGTAGGGGTAGGGTGTAGGGCGTGGTTTGGGATTGGGCCATACACACGCACTTTTTTGGCCCCCCCACTTTTAAAATGAATCCGGCGCGCCTGGTGAGATTGACAGGCAGATTGAAACAGAAGCAGCAGTAATGCATGTGTTGTGTTGGTGAAGGGAGAGTTGAGCCCAAAGGCAAGTCTCCCATTTACCAATTGTTCTGCGTTCCAACCCTCACTTAAGATGATCTTCAGGGATTAAGTTAAATGAATCATTTGCTATCCGCCTATTCAGTGTTTTGTACTCCATTCCTTCCTTCCATTCTCCCTTCCTCTACATTAGTTAAACAGTGTGTATTCAAATGTTGCACACTTCAGAGGTATTTTGTATTAAACTATTCAGGATGTTTTAAAATATTTTTTATTTTGTTATTTTCTATTAGTGCTGCTCGAACACTGGTGTCCAGACTGGAGGCTCTACAGTGCCACTTCACCTGGGATCTTGACCTCAGAAGGTCCTTACTTTTACGTTGTAGGGACAACTTGATAGACATTGGTACTGATAATGGAAACAAATGGCTGGGTCACATCTACAACCTGCGAGGGTTCATTCAGTACAAGCTGGGATCCAATGAAGACGCCCAAAGTTTCTTCAACAAGGCTACAGAGGCCTTCAGCCAGATAAAAAACACAGATGAGGGCCCCTGGTTGGTGGTGAACTACGGGAACCTGGCTTGGCTGCACCACCACCTGGGAGACCAAGCAGAGAGCGAGGCTTACCTGTCAAAGGTCGACGCCCTGAATAAAAAATACCCATCTCCATCCCAGGAGGAGCTCCACCCAGAGATCTACGCTGAAAAAGCCTATACGCTGATGACGTTTAACGGTGACATGAACCTGGTTGCAGATTACTTCCAGAGAGCCATCGAGATGCAGCCGGACATGGTGGAATGGAACAGCTGGCATGTCATAGCGTTAACGTATGTTTCTAATTACAGCCTGGAAGATGACATCTTTCAGAAAATGAGAATTGCCCAAGAACAGGATCCAGAGAACTTGTACCTTGCTGCTCACTATCTTTGTCAACGTGCTAAGAGAGGAGAAAGAGTTAAAGATGAAGCACGTCAGTTAGCCACAATTGTTTTGAGAAGTCCTGTCGGCAGCTACAGTGGTTTAAAACCATTGCTATGGGTTTACAGACAACGTTATGATGAGGCCATTGATTTGGCAGAGGAGGCTCTGACGAACCATCCAGATGAGCGTTATCTGAAGAGACGTGCTGCTCTCTGCTACCAAAAGAAGCTCCTTTGCAGTAACAGTCCCCTAACAAAAAGCATGATAGCCAGAGCAGTCAGTCTCCATCAGGAGGTGATTGCTCTTTACCCTGATTCCTCACTTATGAGGAAAATACACCTTGCCGCGATATACGCACGCACGTCACATGATGGTCAGGCTAAAGCTGAGCAGATATATCAGGAACTGCTAAAAAGTGATCTGGAACCTGCAGGCCAACAGGTGCTTTTCAACAGCTACGCAAAATATTTACATTTCCAAAAACAGGATCGCAAAATGTCAATACGATATCACATGGAGGCAGCAAAGATACAGCACCAATCCTTCTTTCGTAAGGACAGCATCAAAGTTCTGGAGATCATTAGAGACAAAGGCTGGCACAGAATGTGTGGAGAAATAAGGGAGTGTCTGGCAAACCTGCAAGAGCCATAGTGTTCTTAACAGCACAGGGAGAACAATCAGAAAAAAACATAGGTATTGCACTGCCTAAAAATAATCTATACTTATTGATTGAGCTGTGTACTTTAAAGGCAGTTTTAACAAGTGTCTGCACATAAGTAGTAGACAGAGGCTGTTTAAAGATATATCTAAAAGCTTATACTTATGCACTGAAAAACTGTCAGCAGTAGGACACTCGATTTAGGAAACAAGCCAAATCGTTTATAACACTGGTTGTTGACATGTTGTTTTCATTAATTATGTGTATGTTTTCCATGTGCACTGTTCCTTCTAGCAAAATACTCTATGACCTATGAAATGTGCTTTGCCGTAAGCTTTTATTTGTGTAATATAAAAATGTGTGATTGGTATTTCAATATATTATGGATGTATAATCTCAACAGTATTGCATGATGCAACTGATTGTATGTCAAGAGTGCCTCTACACTGTAAAAAACAATAAAGATGCATTATGTAAACCAAGAAATGTACTTGTTTTTGGTTTCCTAGTTTTTTCAAATGTTGAAAAAAAATGTTTTATATGTCCACTCAGGTGGACAGTATGCGTTTAAGTTTGAACTGAAGACATGTACATTTTGAAAAAATGATAAATAAAGATGTGCAAACTTAAAATGACATTATAATAACTTAAGTATATTTATTTACGGCCCAAAAAGATATTGCAGATGAAGTATTTTCAAGAACAACAGTAGCAGTAACAGTATGAATTGAAATATAGCCAGTGATGCATGACATCCACTTTAGTGGACAGGTGATTAATCATAATTTCCTGAAAACATAAAATCAATACTTGCAATTTATGAATTATATGATTCCTTAGTTGTTACTTGATGTCACCAACATTGTTATACCTGCAGGGGGCGCTTTCCATAAAAGGATTGGCAAGATATCGACGAGTGATTCGGTCCATCTGGCTTTCTGTCGTCTCTCTTGGTTTAGAGAAATCTATCATGCACTTACACTGACTTTCCACTGAGTGGCAGTGTATGGGATGATGCAATAGGGTCCTATGTAGTGGCTGATGTGCAACTATGCCATCAAAACCCATGCATATACAAGAAAACACCTTTTCAATAGTTGTTCACTGTAGTGACCTCTATGCGTGAAATACATGCATATACGCTATAGAACATGTAGCAGTACTGCACACAAGGTGCCTAAATGTTCCACTTTTAAGTCAACAAGGATGAGCAATAAACACAAACAGCTGTATGAGAATTTCCCCAAGGGATAAGGGGTGATGAAAGACAGTGCTTCTATAAAAGAAGATGAACTTTCATGTTAAAATAAGTGTTTGTTTTTTTAGTTCAGCAGTACCCTGTCAACAGGAAGTGGTATTCAAACAGTAACCTGGTTACAGCAGTAGATGGCAGCAGCAGAGCGTCATGGTGCAGGTGTCTCCAACAGCTCTTCACTCTGACACTGCAGACAGCTGCTGCTCATTATCTAAATGAGTTTGAAATAACGTGCATTCAAACTGAACTTTTCCATTTGATATTAACTCATTTACATATCACCATGCACTGTCTCTTTCTATGAATCCTATATGTGTCACAGTGGAAGTGAATCAGGACCCAAATGCACAATGAAAGAGGCGGGTATAAAAGTATAAACAAAAAGCAAGCTTTAATAATAAAAGCTGTTCCAAATAAATACAAAAAAATGGAGGGGCAGGCTGGGTCAACACAAGAAAAGTAGCTAACAATAACGAGTAACAAACCGGGTAGACTTGGAGGACATAGGAGACGAGGACAATCCAGAAGAATACAGAGAGGGAACCAGGAACCAAACTATGGAAACACTGACGAAGAACTGACAGAGAACACGAGGGAAAACATGTATACACAAAAGACTAATCACCAAGACAACAGCTGGGGAGGGCATGCAAAACCCAAGGTGTAGCACATGTAAAGAATTGCACAACAGAGGTGGAAGAAGTACTCAAATATTGTACTTAAGTAAAAGCAGAAGAACCAGAGTGTAGGAATACTGTTACAAGTTAATGTCCTGCATTAAAAATGTTCCTCAAGTAAAAGTACAAAATAATTGGCCTCAAAATATACTTAACATACAAAAGTACTTAATATGCAGATTTCAGAATAATATATATGATATGTTTTATAATGATTGATCATGAAAGTGTTCTCAAAGCTGGTAAAGGTGCAGCTAGTTTGAATGACTTTGTATAGTGCAGGGTAGCTTGTGAATTTACTCCAGGTGGAACTAAAGTCTGATTTAACACTTGATTATATTTCACATCATTCATCCACATCTGTAAAGTAACTAAAGGTATTAAATACATGGAGTGGAGTAAAAGTACACAATATACCTAGGAATTGTAGTGGACTAGAAATACAGAGTAGCATAACATGAAAACACTCAAGTAAAGTACAAATACCTCAAAATGTTACTTTAGTATAGTAGTTGAGAAAATGTACTTCCCACCTCTGTTGGACAATCAAATGGGAGGGAAACAGACAGGAAGTAAAACAAGACAAGACACAAGGACAAAATACATTTAAAAATAAAACCGGAAATACAAATTACGATCATGACAATATGTATATAGACCTGTATACATACAGTATGTTGGCCTACAGTACATATCCACCCATGCAATGGTTACTTCTTTGCCCTATTTATATCGTTTACAACTTACAGAAACATTACATTGCATTTAGCTGACGCTTTTATCCAAAGCGACTTACAATAAGTGCATTCGACCAAGAAGATACAAACTTGAAGAAAACAGAATCATATAAGTACATCAGGTTTCATAGAGCCAAAACATTTCAAGTGCTAGTCAACAGGCTTTAGATAAGCCAGTCCTTTATAAGTGCTTTGTTAGTAATTCTATCGCTCGAAGTGGAGTCGAAAGAGATGAGTTTTCAGTCTGCGCCGGAAGATGTGTAAGCTTTCTGCTGTCCTGATGTCAATGGGGAGCTCATTCCACCATTTTGGAGCCAGGATAGCAAACCCACGTGTTTTTGCTGATGGGAACTTGGGTCCCCCTCGCAGTGAGGGTGCAGCGAGCTGTTTGGCTGATGCAGAGCGGAGTGCACGTGCTGGGGTGTATGGTTTAACCATGTCCTGGATGTAGGAAGGGCCAGATCCATTCACAGCATGGTACGCTAGTACCAGTGTCTTGAAGTGGATTCTAGCAGTTACTGGAAGCCAGTGAAGTGAGCGGAGGAGCGGTGTGGTGTGGGAGAATTTAGGAAGGTTGAAGACCAGACGAGCCGCTGCATTCTGGATGAGCTGCATAGGTCGGATGGCACATGCAGGTAGACCAGCCAGGAGGGAGTTGCAGTAGTCTAGGCGTGAGATGACGAGAGCCTGGACCAGAAGTTGCGTCGCTTTCTGTTTCAGGAGGGCACGTATCCTCCTGATGTTGTAAAGAGTGTATCTGCAGCAGCGGGTTGTAGCAGCGATGTTTGCAGTGAAAGACAGGTTGTTATCTAGGGTCACACCCAGATTCCTTGCAATCTGAGTCGGGGAAACAACAGAGGGGCCGATGTTGATTGTTAGGTCAAGAGTGGGACACTCTTTTCCCGGAAGAAAAAGCAGTTCAGTCTTGTCAAGGCTGAGCTTGAGGTGGTGAGCAGACATCCACCGAGAGATGTCTGCTAGACAAGCAGAGATGCGTGCGACGACCTGGGTTTTCAGAACGGGGAAAAGACAGAATTAATTGGGTGTCGGCAGCGTAGCAGTGGTATGAAAAACCATGCAGGCTAATGACCGATCCGAGCGAGTTTGTGTACAGAGAGAAGAGGAGGGGACCAAGGACAGAGCCCTGACAGAGTTACCGCAGCATCCGGGCAAGGACAAGAAGATTCGGAGACAGTTTCTTCCCGCGGGCAGTGAGACTGTTAAAAAATTGAACTGTTGAAACAACTTCAAACATTCAACTGCTACTCAGTAGTATGTATCTAATACCTAATATATATATATCATTCCAATAACTTGTATATAGACTCATACTGCACTATTCCACATCATAACTTTATTTCATTTTTATAACTATTATTATTTTTGTATTGCTCTTGCTCTTATTGTTATTATGTTATGTTATTATGTTGCATTGTTGGAGAAGCCTGTGACATAAGATTTTCAACTGCATAATTACTCTGTAGCTATGTCAGATTGACAATAAAGAACCTTGAACCTTGAACCTTGAACCTGAAGGACCCCTGTAGTTAATTGACAAGGGACGGACTCCGACCCTCTCCAAGTTACCCTGTAGGTGCGGTCTTCGAGGTATGAGGTGAGGAGGGAAAGTGCAGAGCCTGAAACTCCAAGTTCTTGGAGAGTGCGAAGGAGGATCTGATGGTTCACCGTGTCGAATGCAGCAGACAGGTCCAAAAGGATGATGACAGAGGAGAGGGAGGCTGCTTTAGCAGTGTGCAGTTCCTCAGAGACAGCGAGGAGAGCAGTTTCTGTGGAGTGACCTGCCTTGAAACCAGACTGGTGTGGATCAAGAAGGTTGTTCTGATGGAGATAACAGGAGAGTTGTTTAAAGACAGCGCGTTCAAGTGTTTTAGACAGGAACGGGAGGAGAGAGACAGGCCTGTAGTTTATAACATCGGACGGGTTAAGAGTGGGTTTCTTAGGAGAGGGTTTACTGTTGCCTCCTTGAGACTGTTTGGAAAGTGACCAGAAGTTAGAGAAGTATTGATGAAATGGGTGAGAAACAGTAGAATATCAGGAGCGATAGTCTGAAGGAGGGGGGTCGTCAGGGTGTTTGGATTTCCAACATTTCCACTCAGCTGCCCGAAGGATGGTTCTATTAGCACGCAGTGCGTCATTTAGCCAGGGAGCAGGAGGGGACTGACGAGCCTGCCGAGATGTGAGAGGACAGAGAGAGTCCAGTGCGGATGAAAGAGTCCAGAGGAGAGTTTCTGCAGCAGAGTTTGGAGGCAGGAGTTGGAACGAGTCAGAGGAAGGGAGGGCTGAGAGCACCGATGAGGTAAGAGTAGAGGGGGAGAGGGAACGAAGGTTACGGCGGACAGGTGCAGAATTAGAAGAGATGAGTTTGTTATGTTTGGAAAGGGGTAGAGAGAAAGATATGAAAAAGTGATCCGAGATGTGAAGCGGGTTTACAGAGAGGTTAGAAGTAGTGCAGTTCCTTGAGAATATGAGATCAAGGACATTGCCAGCTTTATGAGTTTGTGGGGATGGAGACAGTGAGAAAGCAAAGGCGGTTAAAAGAGATGTTAGTTCAGATATCTTCCCTGTCTGGAGGTTGAAGTCTCCGAGAAGTACAGTAGGAGGGCCAGTTTCAGGGATGTGTGAGAGGAGATTATCTAATTCCTCCAAGAAGTCTCCCAAGGCGCCTGGTGGACGGTAGAGAACAACAGTGGTTCATTGTATAGGATGGGTTACAGCAGGGGTCACCAACCTTTTTTAGGGTGAGGGCTACTTTCAAAAAATAAAACAAGTCGGGGGCTACTTTTACTC